CTTTGACCAGGCGGATACCTGGTGGCCACGGCCTGAGATCGGAGACTTACAACTGCTACCTACACGTATCCATTGATCCCTACGTACTACTCATCTGGTGTGTCTGCGTGTATGCACTTCGAAGCAAGCTGGTCCCTGTCGTCTGTTTCCATTCTAATTCATTCAACAGGTGTCTGTAAATCTCTCTTCTCCTTCGCTGATTGAGATACGCCCACCCTGGGATAGCAACGGCACGGAAAGCTGTCTGCCCCGGAACTAAAGTCTTGAGAAGAGAGACAACGTTCATCCATCTACTGAAGGCAGTGCGGGGACCTATAGACTCATCCCTCGTTCCCCAGCTTTACGTCTGCTCCGATTCTGTAACCTTGTCATATCACTTCATCCTCTTTTATCAACATCGGAAATCTTGTCTACCGCTCACTTCACCTTCGCGTCACGACGAACACCAATTCCTCGTGCCACTGTTTCTCAAGTCCTCTCTCGACAGACAGTACCGCTATTTTGACCTCGACCAGGACCCTGAGTAAAACCTTTCTCTCAAGTCAAGGCTCGGAGGCCCTGGCTCAAATTACCTTTTCACAGTTTACAAAGTTGGAGATCAAGTTTTCTCCTGGAATACACCTCCCACTTTTCGACTTGTCGCGAGACGATAGACTAACTCTGCACTTGCAACCTCGCTGCGGCTGGATATACTCGACGGCATATCTAATTGTATCAAACTCTGCCCTTGACGAGCAACTCCACGCATCGACTTGAAGCTCGGCACAACGTATACTGTCTGGAGAAGAATCTTGAAGAGTCTGCATCGCGAGGATTTGTCTCCTGGAAATCACCAACTTGATCAGATCATACTGTTCTGGCAATCAAACCCCACCAGTTCTGGAATTGGCGATATTCATCCTTTTGAAGGCGTCCCCCTGGCACACACACACACTACTCCAATTACCACCCCCATACTATTCCCGAACCCATCTGCAACACCCAACCTGAGCCGCATCACACTGTTCCCAGGGATCCCACTCATCCAAGACAAACTTGTACAAGTCGAAGGGCGATCAACACCATTGCTGGTCTATTATTATCTTCGAACTGCACTTTTCTGAAGAATCTGATTTTTCTTTTGTTAAGCAGCATAATATCTTGCTGACTGCCTCAAGTCCAGCCGGAGTCGCACCCACTTAGGACTTGAGTCACTATATATCGACTGACCAACTACAGCATATCACGACATGTTCCTGTGCTACAAGCTGTGCTAGGCCCTTGATTTTCCATTGGGTCTGTCTTTATACACCATCAATATCTGAGATTGAACACCGGTGGCACAAACTTTTACCGAGTTTTGGTTTGCGCTTAGCCACTTGCCTTGCGGGTGTAATTGGTAACTCGTAGGCTATCGACAATTGACTCGAGCAAGTCGCACATATCATCAGCTACTAGAACCATGGTTAGAGATTGGACCAGGGAGCCGTTCTCCCGCCATAATCATCATCCTTACCTGCCAGACAGATTTGTCGGGGATGGAGTTGACGATAATCGATTTCCAGAGGCTCAAGATCTGCACAGAAGACAGCCTCCAATGGTAACAAACTTAGACCTTGCTTATTGGAGTACTCGCTGACATAAGGCTAAAGCAAATCGCCGATGCTCTTCGTCGAGACTGTGGAATAGCGGTCAGACACTATTTCTTGGCTGTAGTAATGGATGATGGAAGCCCTCAAACCTTCTCTGGTCCAAGTACCTCGGGACCTCGCAGTGGCTACGAGAAACAGTTTTTTGATATGGAAAAATACATAAGTGCTATGGACCGCTTGGATTCTGGTTGGTCGATTTCCGCCCAGTTATGAATCAGAGGGCTAACGTGAAGTTAGGTGCGAGCCCTGTTGTTGATGACTTCGGCTTCGATGGATACAAGCATTCTATGGACTTTCCAAGAAATCGTATGATGGACCGCCGACGAATGTCTCAGTTTGAGGATTGGGAAGTGCCTGCACGACAAGGCCGGAAAAGACCAAGAGCTCGCCAACACATCATTGATGAAGATGAAGCGCCTATGACTATATCGACAACAATCAGAAAGGGTATCCAGGTCGGAAACCCCACTGAGCTTTGGACATTTTATGAGCAACGTTTCAAAAACATGCAGCAAACAGCCTGTAAGCTCATAGCAAAAGCATGGGTCAAGGCCGTGGAGCCAAAGAAGCAGTCTACACATCCTTACACGGGAAGTGACGAGAAGGCACCCGACTGGTGGCCCAAGCCCTGGGGTCCAACAAAGGAGGACAAGGTGCGGCATAAGGAGCCAGACCATCTCTATAAACGAGGTAATATTCAACATCTGATTGAGTATTCTCATATTCCCATCTAACAAACTTGAATCCAGAACGAGTTCATCTTCTTAATCACATTCTCAGAATGATTGTGGAGCCCAACAAGACCCAGCATCCTGACATTCAAAAGCTAAATCTCAACGTGAAGAAGCTGGAGGAGATTACGATTGAGGCTCTTTCAGGCTTTTTCGCAGACAAGGATAATCCGGCCAATGCGAAGAAGCGGCCGTTTCTTAATGAGATTTTCAAAGTGGCCAAGCAACAGGAACGTTACAAGGATGGGATGATTGGTAAGTCTTAATTTGTGGAAGCTGGATGGGTAGATTTCTAACCCGATCTGCAGATGGGACAACTGAGGTTTTTGTCATGGCAGACGATAAGATGCTTGATTCGTATGCATCCGGTAACGATGACGAAGGGCCTGTTCCCAAGGAAGAGGACGATCAAGACGTGCCGCCGAATAAGTTGGCGGCAGTCCCTGGTCTGATGCCTTCGTCAAACAGCCACAGCTCAGGCGCTTCATTGCATGGCACACCTTTCCTCGGTGGAGAGCTACCCGTACGAGGCAACCAGTACAACCACTCGATGATGCCGGACATGGCTCCAGATCAGCATGGCTTCGTTGAGAATAACACCATGCCGGTGAATAGTCAACCTACGGTCCACCCCAATAGCGGGAACCTCGGTATGGATTTGGGTGTGCCTCCCGCTGCACATGATTCTGGACGTCGTTCATCCATCTTCAGCGCCCCAACAGAGTATGCTGGACAAAATGGCACACCCATATACACGCAGCAATGGCAGCCGGGTTCTACAGCGCCAAATTCGACGTCAATGTATACCTTTACTCAACAGCCAGCCAATCCACCAGCGACCGCTTTCGTCAGCCCCGGGGTTCCAATGAACCAGGCTCAACCGTATATGAATGCCTCATTCGATGGAATAACGAGAGGATATGACCCCAATCAGCCTACTATGTTCCGAACAGGAAGTGTGGCACAACCGTCACAGGTCCATCCGACTCCGGGCTATGATTATATGTCTCAGGACAGTCGAGGGCTGCCCGGTGTCAAGGTGGATGATGTACCGCGACATGCGATGCATTAGACTGTGCCAGACTTGACGTCACCTTTTATATACAACCCGTGACACATTCTTGCTTTTTTCATGTGGTTATAGATTATGCATGGCTTAGGGCCTGGTATGACAGCACAGGTCGATCAGATCAGATCATGCGATGGTTCGTTACAGCCTCGCTTTTTCTCGGTTTACAGTTCTCACCGAATACCGGTACCAGCATGGTTACGATTGCTCATTTTCATACGGCGGGTGGTTATCCTTGCCACTTGATTCGATACCCCAAAATATATCTTTTAGGACAATCTCGGGACGGTTTATTTGTTTTTGGCGACTGACCACAGCATCTTGTTTGGGATAAACTATATTGTGCGTGCCTGCATTTTCAGTATCAAGTTTTGTTTCCCCGCGGGTCGGCTTGTTGGTTCCTGATTGGCATTTTCATGGTGTACATTCTCGCTCAACGTGGACATTGGCATGCTCCAAATTGTTAATTACTGCCGAGCCCTGAGTAGACGATGATGGCTCATGGGTGTTGGGATAACGGCTACGAAATTCTTATGTTGACGACCAGAAACGCAATCACGATTAACGTTAGCGAACACGTTTACTAGCAGTGGTTCATTCATCATGTCCACGTGCGGACGATATCTCGAGTCCAAGGAAATAGGGTGATGAAACAGGGGGATGCGAAATGAGAGGCTCTCATATTCATAAGCAAATATGAAATAGACATGGGGTGAAGGAATCTTAAATATTACACTTCAAGTTCCAGCTTGCAGCTTACTTCCTTTCGTGGGTACATAGGGTCCGTTAGGTCAGTTCCTGTTGATTTCAGCTCTGAATGAGAAACGGTTGAACAACGCAGTGAGGAGGTTCTGCTCATGAGTGCTGTATTAGAAAATAACCTGGTGTAATTGATCATGACAAATTCTGCCCTTGCGCTCAAGCCTGGCCATGGCTGTTATTCATGACCTTGCAACTGGGGAGCAAGGAATGGTCGTATTGTTTTTCTCCTCGCGTTAAAATGCTGGATCAGGTCTTATTCAACTGAGAAATACATAGGGAAATGGTCCCCCATTTGGCCCTTCATCACCTCTCCTTACGTCAAGGTGTACAGCAGTCCTCGTAAAAATCATGAACAAGAGAATATGCATGAGCAGACACATTATATGAAGAAAAGTTCTATCAACTGGGTTCAACACTCAAGCTACTGTACCGTATCGCACCGTGAAGCAGATCCGTACCTCAACCTTCTGCTGACCTGTGAGTGAATCCATCCACCAACGCCAAGCTACTTGAAACCGTCAAACCATTTAATCAAATCAAATCGGAGACAACACAATCACGCCAGGAGTATACTCATATGCACCAAGAAGGACTCTCTTGATACTCTGCTCTCTCCTGGTTGTGGGAAAATGTCGCTCCAGAATCCCGCGATTAACAAACAAAAACAAGATAACATGCAAAAACACAACCGAGCTGAATAGCAAATATTCACCGAGGGAACATTCGCTAGACGGGATGAGCCGGGGGTATACGTTATGAAGAAGGCAAGTCCGAAATAGGGGAGACTGCCAACGCCGTCTCGTGCTTCTAGCTCGATGCATTGGCAGCTGTGTTCTCCTCTTTGGGCTGTGGAGGCTCGAGGCCTGCATTTTGTGCCACTCGCTTCCAAGTCTCGAGCTCGCGGTACAGACGCTCACACTCCTGCTTGAGTTTGTCGTTGGAAGCGCTCAACTCTGTTATAGCTTGCTCTGTAAGCAGTTTCTCGAGGGTCCACTTCTCGATGTTTTGTTGCTCGTTTTCCTTGAGCTGGGAAATGAAGCTGACTGCCCGTTGTAGAATGGAGCCTTTGTTCTTCTCACAACCAGGGACGATCTTAGCGAGTTCGTTGATACCTTCGTTGATGGTTTCCCGACGGCGACGCTCCACTGTTTTGATTAGTATATTCTAAGGCAATACGACAGATGAGATATCCATACCTTCTTTGTGGTTGTCCTTTCGCATCTTGTGCCACTCTTCTGATCCGACTGTTGGTTTGGGGTTGGGGGCTGCGGGATTGTATCGTGGTGGCTGATGCGGAACACCATTAGGTGGTGTATGTTGATGCTGAGGAGGGGCGACTTGAGGGGGCTCCATAATACTGTCAACTGTAGGTGTCACATCGGGGTTGAAAGTTGGATCATGGCCATGCTCAGGATCAGTGGCTGCCTGGGCTGCAAATTGCTCTTCTGTCGAGGGTGGAACATGTAGGGTGGGGTACATGCCGAGGGCAGCCTGTGCGGTGCTGGTAGCACTGGTAGGATCCGGAGCTTCGGGTTGATCGTGGTCTGCTTGGGCGGCCTGCTGCAGAGCGTTGAAGTCGGCGACGTTGACGCCATTCGCGTTGACGGCCTGGCTCTCCATGGCACTGTCGATGAAGGAGGCGGGGTCGGCAGACATGTGGGCAGCTGGGGCAGGGCGTTTATTCCTGGCGAGATCAGGACTGCCGGATTCGCGCTTCCGCTTCTGACCAGGGGAGCCGGTCAGGCTGGAGAGGTCTGGCTGCTCGGCAAGAACTTCAGCCATGGTTCAGTCGTGAGAGAATTATCGAAAGAAAAAACAAGTGGTGTTTTGGTAGACGGGTTTGTTCGATCAAAAGCGCTCGCCAAGATTAAGGAGGCTGAGTGCAAAGTTTGATGATGTCGAGGCCACAGATGAGAGACGTTGACAATCAATCAAAGATCTGGATAGGGAAGGGCAGTTAGAATAAACTCGCTGCAGAATTAAGCTATGGGTAGATGAAGTGCGAGAGAGAGGGTTAAAGCAAGGGGATCCGGCCTCGAGTGACGGAGAAGAGGTTGAGCGTGCATCTGTTGGTTGGTTGAGTGCCAGCGTCAACTGTAACACGTGCACACGATGCGCTAGTCTTGTCGTCGAAGAGGACTTGAATCTTTGCATGGGGCATGGAAAGAAGAGAAAGCATCGTGGGTTGCGGCTCGCTTGAGGAGTGAATGTGAGAGTTGCGATGACTGAGCGTGAGAGAAAGACATGATGAGGCGATGCGTCTGTGCTGATTCAGTCACTCTGTATGAGGGATGAAAACAGCGAGCAACAGAAGATGCTGGGACAGGCAGGCACAAGAGTATATTTATGCGATGCTCATGATGGCAGGCGACGTACAGTTGTGACTGTGAACTATGGTGGTTGATTTTGTCGATGATTCAAAGCAAGCAAGCAGTGAAGACGCTGCCACTTGGCAAGATGTATGCATTCATTTCATTTCGTTGCGTTGCACCGCCAATCCTCATTCCATGAGCGCAAATACTTTGCAAAGGCCCATTTCTGAGTGCAGAGACTCGAGTTGCATTGTTGCGTCGTCGTGCAGATCATTAAATCAAATGTATCGTGAAGTGAATGAGATGCATGAAAGCGACATACCTCCCAGATCATGTGCTTCGAGGCGTGATCGTGCGAGATCACGAGTTTTCTCGTCTCACGTGTTTGCCTTGGTGGGATCTACCTCGTGATATCGCGCGAGTCCCAGTTGATAAGTCGACAACTTCGCGTCTGTAAATGAACGGAACCAGGCCCAATACTCAACAAAGGAATTTTAATCGGAAAAAGGAGGAGGAATAAATCTTGGGTCCTTGATACGCGTTCGGGTCCAGATAAAGACACGAGGATCTTTATCTTACTAAAGGGGAAGAAACGAATTCTCTCTCCGACGAAAATGGGCGCTTCTTTGGCTGGACGCGCAGCTGGGAACTGACACTGGGGAGTGAGCGAGTCGGGTCACGCGGCGGAGGAAGAGGGTGAACACGTGCAAGTGGGTGAGGCTGGTAAGATAAATAAGTTGACGCGAGTGAGAGGGGGGCAAGATGCCTGCCTGAGGCCGAAATAAGAGATGGGAGAGGGCGACCAATAGGATGGTCAGGTGGGCCACATAAGCTCTGAGATGGGGGGAAACAGGCAGACAAGGAACCTGGAAAGGGCGAGGGCGTTATGAATCAATGTGGAAAGTGCCAAGGAAGGGAGTTAGGTAGTTGTTAGTTGCTGTCTATTGCACCTGGGTAACTGTATGATATGAGATGAGTTCATACCTACCTACCTACCTGCCTATTCTCGGTTGCTTGCCTATAAATAGGATCATACCTCTGACCTTATACAAGGTAAAATAGTAGTACCTGGTTTTCAGAAACCTACCTACATACCTACTATACCTAAGCCAAGAATACACCACAACACTAATAATCTATAATAATAAGCCTGATTCTCTCTTGTCTTAACTTGATTGTCCCTCCCATTGTCAGCTAGTAGCTCTCCAAATGCGGAGAATCAGTACACAGCACAGGCCAATTAGGGAACCTTCAGGGATAGCAAACAATACTACACAATTGCACCACACCACTAGAGCATGAGGAGCCGGCATGTAATCACCTGATCCCATCCCACGTACATCACTTGACGCCGAGAAGTGAAACAGGTTGCGTCCTAAGATATCTGCGACAGATGATCCAATCTGGACTCGTCTGACACAGGAGCTGGTTCTGGGGGGCTTCAGCAGGTTCAGCTCAATGTGCAATATGCTGTGAATCAAAATTGAACTGTATTTAACACATTGAGTATTGGGAGTCACCTCATGGATGACAACACTGGTATTGACTTTTTGATTACAATAATACATACACTCATTTGCTTTTAAGCAAGGGATCGTCCAAGTGCCACAGAAGAGGCGTTCGAGTATTGGAGTCGAGTCTGCAGTGCATATCCAACACGATCCCTAGACCTCTCAACTGTGAGATATCAGGTTCGATACCGTGTTTCTCCACCATAATCTATTTACTTTATGCAGCCAGCCGACCCTTGTGTTGAACAGACCACTGATGGTTCGCGGCATAAAAGGCATCTTGTCATACCAGATGCAGGCTGGTGATGGTGAACACACAAGGTGGATGGATGTTGATACGCTAGCCTTGTCTGGAGCATTTCCTCCGATTACTGTCGTTTCTTTATTAAGCAACCGATAACATTTGAATGAGATCCTACCAATACTGAAGTACCAACGCAAATATCTGCGAAGAGATATGGCTAAATTCTTTTTTGCTTCTATCCTTCATGTTCTCTCCCTCTTCGCTTACAGCGGGAATCACCCCCAAGACGGGGGCCCCACATGCCCATGTTCCGAAGGCGGGACGGGTGGAGGACTGCATGACGGGATGCACCTAGAAGGTAAGGTACGTACCTAGGTTAGTGCCTTCCATTGGAGCACCCGCCTCATGACACAACCCACTTCACTTTGACTTCACCTCACCTCACGATAACGACTTATCAATCACAATCATCGGAGCTTGATAAGCCTTCCGCCTTCTACGGGCGCTACATGCGATTGTTTACTATCTGAGTAATCGATATATCCCTTCCACAAGCAAACATTCATAATGGGCGATCACGAAAGTTCTCAGATCAAACATAACGAGCATCTGCTGCTTGTAAGTCCGACCTAATCAAGCTTCCCATCAGCGCCTCTCCATGATAATTGATAGTCGACATCAGGACCAACCTTTGCTTCGCCTCCCCTCCGAGCTCCTTCGAAAGAACTTCCGCACGGCCCATTTCACAATCGAGAAAGACACCACCGCCCTAAAGACATTACTCAAAGATTCAGCTACCGCGGCCGTCTCCGGCCGCGCATCACAGCAAGATGTCCTTCGTAACATCGACGCAATGGTGTCCCGCATGCGAGGTTTGAAGCGCAAACTTAATGCGAGCGCCGCCGAGGAGGCTCGTCTGCACGCACAAACAGCTGCCCGCATCTCACATCTCGACGAACTATACAAGATGGATACAGTAGAGGACGTTAAGTATGAAACATGGAGTAGGAAGAGGCTCGATCGCCTTCTGGCAGACTACCTGCTTCGCCATGGTTATAATGATACAGCAAAGGAGCTGGCCGAGCAGCGTGGTATTACCGATCTCGTCGATATCGACACCTTCGTTGCTGCAAGTCGTATCAGGGATTCTCTTCTGAAGCAGAGCGTGGTTGAAGCTCTGGCTTGGTGCAACGATAACAAGAAGGAGTTGAGGAAGATGGAGGTACGTTTCCTATTCTCAAAATCTCCGCGACATCCACATTCTAATTATTTGCAGAGTAAGCTCGAGTTCATGCTTCGCTTCCAACAATACATCGAGCTGGTCCGCTCGCAATCCTCGGCGAAACTCACTGAAGCGATTGCTCACGCTAAGAAACATCTCATTCCTTACCGGGCCACGTTCCCCAGAGAGGTTCAGCAGGTCTGTGGCCTGCTTGCATTTCCTCCTGGTGGTGCATCCGCTGCCGCACCCTATGGAGATCTGTATAAACCGTCCCGCTGGGCTGACCTTGCCGACCTTTTCACAACAACCCACAATCAACTCCTTGCCCTTCCTGCAGTCCCACTCCTTCACGTCGCCCTTTCTTCTGGTCTGTCAGCTCTCAAAACACCTGCATGCCACACGGATCCGATGCACTCAGATAGCCCATCTGCCCAAAGCACATCCGACATCGCAGCAGCAGCTTCGACTCTCGGCCACGGCGTTTGTCCCATCTGCTCCACTGAACTCAATGAGCTTGCCAGGAATGTGCCGTACGCTCACCATACCCAGAGTCATGTAGAGCACGATCTCAGGCTCCTGCCTAATGGTAGCGTCTATGGAAGGGACCGCCTTGAAATACAGGCGAGGAAGAATAATTTGCCTTCTGATCAGGTTAAGGACCTCCGGACAGGCGATATCTTCCCAGTTGACTCACTGAAGAAGGTTTATATCACATAGAGAATTCGTCGCTGGGGGACCCCAGATGCGTAAAAGAAATCTCTGGTTCAAAATTGGCGTTTACTACATGGACTGGTGTTCCGGCGCTCAACATATTGTACAATACAAAGTCACTGCGAGCCAGGGACTTAGACATAGCGCTGTCATTCATTTGTGACGGGCATCATGCCAAAGCACAACTTAAATTGGCCGAAATAAACAACTTTGCAAAGCTCAAATTCAAAGGTGCCAACTCCTAGTTAACCATACAATACAGTATACAACAGCGGCGCCGACACCAACTGGCACGTATGATCCCATCCCAACCGTCCATCCCTGTCCTTTTTTCCCCATTGGATTCCTGAAACTTCCGAAAGTCATTATATCAAAATCGTAAACCTAGGCAGAATGCATTGGAGCGGGGAACAAAGGGCATGATAGCAAAGAGGTTTGATATCTCATTGTACAGACCCATTTCATGTAGAGAAGCCGATGATTATGCTTTTGGCATAACAAACGTTCATAACGAGAGAGGAATAGGTTGATGGCAGAGAGTGAAATGCAAGGCATAGAAAACATTAATACTATCGGCATAGCCCATAGCCCACTGGGTGGGCTAACAGCCCTTGGGTTAGGGCCTCTCATCGGTTTCCGCCGAAAGCGAAGTTGCCGAACACACCTCCTCCTCCACCAGGAGTCATAGGCCCAGTGTTGATGATGCCGTTCTGTCCTTGTGGTCCCGGGGTAGTGGCTAACGCAGCATTTGTCGTGTTAGGGGTGCTGGGTCCGTTGCCATTTGTTTGCCCGTCGTTGCCACTTTGCTGATTCATCATTGACATGACAAGGCTGGAATTTGAGTCAGGGAAACCCAAGCCCCAGACCTTGCCGACATGCTCATCAGGGATATCACCGGCAAATATCTTATCGCGCATAGAGAAGAAGACCTTTCCGGTGAGTAACGAATCAGAGCCTGCTTGGTGGGCAGAGCCAATACGTTTAATCTTGAGGGTTTCGGCAATGTTCTCAAGTCCTGATTTATGTTCAAACTTTTGCAGGATCTCGGTACTGCTGGGATCGCTGGGTGTAAGAAGACCGGAGTTGTGTAACCTGATGGCGTGCTTCATGAGGTGCTTCACATCGTACGTCATGGGGAAGTAGAGCTTCATCTTGTGGTCAAAGTCGACTTCGTCGTTGGGCAATGGTAAGCACATAAACAGCTTGGTCAGGTAGCCGAAATCGTAACCGCCGTGGAACGATATCCACTTAACGTTGTCGTAGCAGATAAGACCTGAAGGGATCATAAGGGAGGCAAACTCGTGAGGATCAATACCATCACGTTCGAGAGCATTAAAGTCGATCCCGGCTTGCTGAAGTGACTCGATCGATTTCTCGTTATACATGTCGTCCTTCAATGAGAACTTGAAGTTGAACTGCCACGAACAAGGAAAAGGAGCATTAGTCGCTGCCCTTTGAGCGGCTGTGCCAAGCTTCAGATCGTTTGTTGGCCGTGGAGGAGGGGTCTCGCCGTCTTCGTTAAAGAAGGTGAGACCTATTTGTATGACCTTCAGCATGTCGACGTTGGTTCGTAGGCATTGATAGTGATAATCGCTCTTCCCTCTGAATCCTCCCATGGGCCTTGAAACGACACCTGGAAATTCGGTGTCCTTTTCACAACCATAAATTAGCACATCTTCAAAAACGATGCTCGTTCCTCAAGCCTTACCATCGCAATGTAAGGATACTTGTCCACCAAATCTCGCAATACTGCCATTTCTTCGTGCAAATTGTGCTTCCATACTTCTCGTATCCTACCCTTGTTGGGATGTGTCCTGATTCCTGGATGTTCCATCAACATGTTCTGGTGAACCTGCCCGTGTTGTGGTTGTTGTAGGGCACCTGCAGGGCCATGGAAACCCATTCTTGCACTTTGACTACCAAACCCCGTATCGGCGAATCCCTGGCCATTGAGGCCGGCTGTAGTAAAAGCATTGCTGTTGGCAGCAGAGAAGGCTCCCAGTTGTGTGTTGGCATTCAGGTACTGGTTCCCGCCCAAATGTCCACCTTGTTGTTGGGCATGGGAGGGGAAGCCACCCTGGTGGTACGGAGCTGCCACAGCGGGCCCCCCGCCGAAACCCCTAAGTTGCGGTGGCGGCATGTGGTTCTGTCCCGAGGAGTGTTGGTTTCTGTTCAATTGCGATCTGGTGCCAGTGCCTCGAAAGCGTTGGAGGGGTTGCCGATGTATGGCTCCAGAACGCAGATGCGATGAGTGCGGGTGGTGATTGGCGGTAGTCCTCTGTGCTTGGTTTGATTGCGTGCCAGAGCCTGAAGGTTCTGAATTCGAAATAGAGCTCTCCGTCGCTGGATCGACCGAGGATTGCTTCTAACGCGACGATTTGAAGTGATACGTGTTGCCTCGACTACCACGACCGTTGTTCATTGAGACAACGTGAGAGTATTGCCAAGATTACCAAGTATTTCCCTGATCTTCTCGAGTGGCTGCGATAGCGATAGATGTCGTCCAATGCTGTCGGTAGTATATGTGATTTCGGTTCAAATGGTGGAGAGGAGTGACGATAGAGATAAAGATATGCGCCGACTGGGTTCCTCGTCGAATATGATAGAAGGCTTCGCTAGTTACTCGGGGTCAGCCTCTCCCTTGCTGAGGTTCTATAGAAAGCGTCGGATGTCCCTTGGAAGGTTCAAAGTGTGAATAAGTCAACTGATGGCATAGACTACGTCCTCTAAACTCTGGAGGGCAGAGGTGAGGAGGGCGGGTGAATCAATTGGTCTGTGCGTCATGTCGGAGGAACCAGTCAACTTTGATCCGATCCGTGCTTTACCTGCCTTACGTTCCGGCCCAGTCCAGTTCAACCTACCTACCTAACCTATAGTGACGGAGGGGGGAAGACAGCCAATATCAATCACTAAATAAGGTCGAATTGGCTCGCTCTCCATTCGCCCATTTCATTTGTCGTCAGATCCAACCACCACCAGAATCTCTCCTTCAGCCCACGATGCTTGCCACGAGGTACGGCGCGCACTCACAGAGCTTCTATTATCTCAATTGGCGCAACCAATCGCAGCGAATGAACTCGGTTTGCTAATATATTCGCCGTGTAGAGTGCTACGAGCCGCCGCGGGCGGTCCCAAGCCCAACATCACCGGCTTCAACATGCGGGCGTTCCAAGCATCAACCGGCCAGCCTCGATACGATCCCTGGGAGCGAAAGTCCGTAGTCCCTTTCTTCCACGGTTGCACCGAATAGAGCCAATGTACTGACCCTCCTTCGCAGCGAGGCCTGGCGATACCAGGGTCCCTATACCCGCTGGAACCGTCTCAAGGGCGGTTTCCCCGGTCTCGGCATCGCGACAGTCGCTTTCACCGCTTACTGCGGATACGAATACTTCTTCCTCGAGGACGAGCACCACCACGGCGAGGCGCATGGAGAAGAGCACCACTAGAGTGCATGGAATACGACGGTTGAGGGAGCGGATGTAGCTGGAATGCAACTGGAGGCGAGAAGTTTTGTACATATACCTCCCACGGTGAGGACAGTGTTTGATCAGATTATTGAACCATCAATCAAAAGCATATCAGAACAAGAAGCAGGAGGACCGGCCTTTCTAACATTATCATGAACATGCTGTGGAATTGGAATGACCTCGAAAGCCAATACATCGGAGTCATCAAGAACTTTTCCACTGGGCGGGCAACATTGCTTGTTGGTGACACTTGATTGCTAGGTCTCTCTTTTATTTGGCCAACTGCGATGGCTATCAATGAATGGTAGAAGACTACTGGTATATATGGTTACCCTCTCAATCATCGGGTCGATCACTCATTTACTTGTGAAGCTTGACAGGTGTGCTTTGTTCCTCAATAGGCAAAGCAGAATGAGCATGCAGAGCCTATAAACATATCGAATCTCGATCAGTATGTGAATGTATATGCAACAAGCCGGCTCTCAAGACAGGGAGAGCCGGCTCAAGGACAATGCTTAGGTATTATTGATCAAGATATCAAATTGAATCAATTTGGTGGCCCAAGCCAAGGTAAAAAGGTATCTCACAAGACTATCCTGTCTCTATGCTAACGAAGGTAAAATTGGTCCTCGGACCCTATGCAGAATGGTATCAAATGCCCAGAAACGCCACCGTATATCCATTTCGGCTATAGCCCAAAACTCCAAGAAAAGAATAAAGAACGGCCATCCGAGGCCATAGAAAAGGTACCTTACAATCATAACGCCGTTTGCCCAGTGTGATAATGCAGTTACTGAGTACCCATCAAGGGTCTCGGGTTAGGTCATCATGATTCGGGTCGCAGCTCAAAACTGTCTCATAAGCCGAGACCATTGACAGCATCCAGGGCACCCTCCACCGCTGTTTCCAATTCTTCCACTCTGGCCTTCAGCCCCTTGTTCTCGTCCTTGAGAAGACTGACAGTATCCCAAGCCATACTGGCGGTTTGCCCTTGGCAGTTGAGGCAAGTCGCAGGCGCGGGTTTAGGCTTCTCGCTCGAGATGCCCCGGATGAGTTTTTGAAACGCGCCCATTTGAGTGTTGTTGGTGTTTCGAGCGGCAGCACTGCCAGCGGCACGAGGAGGCTCCAGTGTGACGGGCTTAGGTTGTGTAACAGGACTGATCTCAGATATGTTGGTACAGATTGTTGGGCTGCGGGATCGCGAGAAGACACTAGCCTCATCTACGCTCTCATCATCAGAAGAGGTCGAAGTACTCTTTCGCCAGCGCTTTAGTCGATCCTCATCGACGCCCAGATCTTCTGATACGATCGAAGCTGCCGAGGTAATATTCTCTTTCTCGCCATTAGTCACCTCATCTACACGGTCCTTTTCATTTGCCAAACGGCTGAGCAAGTACTCGATCATAGCATCTCGCTCTGCCATCAGGGTAGCCTGTTCCTCGAGTTGCTTCTCGAGCTGTTGAATCCTGGTTTCAGATTCACTCTTGTCGAAATTTTGAATATCACGCTCAGCCTGGAGCTCCCTAAATTCTGTTGTGCGTTGCTCATAAGCAGCCTGGAACTTGCTCAACAGACCAGTGGCGTTCATCTGCAGATTCTTGAAGGCGGATGGCGAGAAAGCTGTGCCTTCGACAGGAAGGCCGTTGGGGAAAAGACCCTTTTCAATGTCGAGGTTCATGAGGGCCTCATTTTGTTCCTCCGAGGGACAAGCAGTAGGCGAAGCAGTGAGGGAGCCGAAAAAGTTGAATCGAGAAGTTGGTGTGGATGGCTTGGCCGATGATGTACTGCGTCGTCGAGGTTCTGGGGCAGTTGTGGATAAAGGCGAGGGTGCATTAGATCGAGAGAACCAAGTTGAAAAGCCGTTTCGGGGAGCTTCCTCTACAACAGCAGGCAAACTTGACCGAGGTTTGGAGACAGCAGGCCTCTTATCGCCAGTGAACGACATGTCGACAGAAAGCGGTCTGGGCTGACCGCTGGAGATCCTATAGAGCCGCGATTCAACGTCCAAGTTGTTGTTGTCGGCCAAGTTGATGGAGTGACGCAGAGGGGACTGAAGTTTAGGAGAAGTAGGTTCTACATGAAGACCGGGATCTCGGGTTCGAACAGAAGAGCTGGGAGGATGATGAGCTGTCGTCGGAGGTGTCACTGAGAGAGGAGCCAGAGGAGGAGTTGAACGGGGAGTCGACTGAGCAGCGCTGGGTGTCTTGAGAGCCGCGGGGGAAAGGCGGAGGGAGGTGGTTTCTAATAGATTGTTGTTTCTGGGTTTGTTTGTCACAGCAGCTCGCCTCCGGGCGGTCGAGGCGCGAACACTGGAGCCATACGACGCTTGGGAGCTCGGCCCCGTTAGACGCGAATGATACTCGATGGGAAACTGTCCATGCTCCTCCTCGGCAGCTCGATCCTCAACGAGCCCCTGGGGCTCCAGAGGCTGCATAATTGCCTAATGTTTCGGTTCCAAGGGGTTTGGGAGATTTGACGGAACAGGGGTCCAGAGAAAGGAACCCAGTTTGACAAGCACTAGAAGAACGCTAGTAGCGGCGATCGTATTGATATATATATTAGGTGGATAGCTGAGGTGCTTCAAATCGATTGTGTCGAGAGAGGGCGGTGGAATAGCCAGTTTGTGGTGGTAAGAGGAGAGAGTTGGCGATGGGTGAACGGTGGTTTTTGGTGGGCGAGGAGGCCATAGATATTAACATTAACACCACAGTTTGTTGCGAGTGGCCGGGTTCGGCTGAGGAGGAGCCGACTATGCAGCGACACCTCAGAAACCAGACCAGACCCTACAGGTACCAGTACTTCCTATAGTTAGACGGGTAACTATGGTTGGGCAACTTGGGATATGCTCTGATGGTGGATTTGTTTGGATAGAATTGAGTGGTTGAGGTATCTGAGGGGTCCTCTTAGGTAGTGGCCAACAAACTTGTACCAATGGGGTAATCCTGCAGCCCCAGGTTGACACAGCTCCGAAAGACTATCAGGTCCATCTATAAAACATGACCGTATTTGCATTTCTGAGAAAGACGTTCCAATTGTCCTAGGAAACCCTTTCCGGAATAAAGACTGCAAAATGCCGTCTCGTCGTGTCTCACTACCAACAATTGGCGAGCAAGCCAGCCGAGCTTGGTAACGCCCTAGCGTTGATCCCTGAATGCTGTGGAATGCAGAGACACGCCACTGTCTCCAGAGGCACTTTATCCTTGTGGGCTTGACGTAGCTGGAGGTTGGAGATAGTACGTTCCGTTGCGTTCCATTGTTAGTAGAGTCATGAATGACATATTCATGACAATGGTTGATCAAGGGATCTTGACTCGATATCGGCCTTTGGTGGAAAACCCCTCGTTATCGAATCGAGTCCCTGGAACTGAGCCCATTATAATCAGTCACGGTCACAAGATAAGGCACTGAAGGATCAGTGCAGCCAACCTTGCCCATATAAATCATGCAGTATCACTATCACCTGCATAGCACTACTGCATAAAGGAGCCCTTCCCGAACGGCTCCAACGTCCCCGCACGTCTTTGTCTTGCCCTGCCCTGTCTGGGCCTGTTGTTCTAGGCTGTCCTACACGGGAACCTGCAGAAATGCAAAAGCAAAGTTTCTACCTTAATCTAGGTTTGTAGGGCCATCTCAAGCTTTTCGACGCATTTTCGCCCACAAGCCCACAAGCCCGGTCAAACTTAGACCACTTCTTGGCGAGTCCAGGCCGTTCCCTTCTCCGTCTGGTTCCTTAAATTCATCCTAGAACAGGAACACACTTTCGCGCCGGCACGTTGATGAACTCGATTGCCACGATCTGTAGCGTCTTGTGGCTGCACAAGATCCAAGAAACCCCGAAAGAGATCTCCCTTCGATTTTGCAAGGCCATTGATGGCTTTCATGGCAACGACTGCCGTGTGTCACTTTCAGCATGGTGATGCTCTCTGATGGTTGTACTGGACATTCTTTTGTATCTTTATTCGAAAGACGCCATGTTTGCTTCCTTAGACTGTGGTACTGTAGCAATTCTTGACTTGTTTGTTGCTCTTCCCTGGCCGTAGGTACGGTGCCTAGGCAGGGCTACATGGACGGTAAAACTACCCATGGCGTCAAGTTGCCTCCATCTCAAAGTTGTGGAGTTTGAAGGCACAGTCTAGGCCTAGGGCGCTGGAGTAAAGTCTCCAGAATCTACTCCGTATCTACATGATGTTTCGGCCGCTTTAGGATGAACGGTATTGGCGACTATCCATCACACAAATTCCAGCTCTTTCAGCTGGATCATTTTGACAAATGAGAGCCCCGCGTGCCGCCTATACAGACTATCGTCACAATCCTACCTACGGACCTTACTTGAACAGCTTCAATCAGCCTACCTTAGTACTCTTATTAGTAGAGCGGTTCCACCATCTGAGCCATTACGCTCGTTTACGGAAACACCAATCTTCTTACTTTATTTGCCTTGGTTAGGTTAATAGGCTGGCGAATGTTCTGTAGAAACTTGCCTAGTAGCCGACCCAAACTACTAACGCAACGACCTAGAGTTGGTTCTTTGGACTTGTGCCTACAAAGTCTCAGCCTTCAATGCAACAAGGGACTTACTCACTTGAAACTTTCATTGCCTGGGGGTGGAAGAAAACTTGGGGCTGTGATCCTACACAACAAAAAGACTTAAGTAGATAGCTTAGTATAAGTTTGGGATACCCTTTGAAATATCAGACCTCGATCCTAATGACAAAGGGACTTGTATAAACTTAGGTGAGACTTTACTAGCCTCTAAACTATATGCATTTCTTCATACATCTGAAGTTTTACTGCTCCCTGAGGCCCGTCTACTGACTTGAAAGACTTCACGGTTCCATGGTCACAAGAACTATCATATTGAGAGAACAAGAAAAGTATACTCAAATAGACTCCCTACCATCTACTGGTGTAAAGATACTTGCAGCCTGCATCGACCATACGCCCAACTGAACGAACTATAATGATGATAACAGCAAACC